CGCGCCGCGGTGTGTGTGTGTGTGTGTGTGTGTGTGTGTGTGTGTGTGTGTACATATTGAATTTTATAATACAGGATGTTCTCAAAAAGGTGGGCTGGTATATAGAATATGTACAAATTTTTTTGTTTGCATTGATATATTCTACATGATTACATCATAATTATGTCTATCTTTTTGGAAACTCTCTGTATATTAATGTGATATACACAGCATCTTATCAAGGAGACAATGAGAAAATACATCTTCATTATGTGGGTGTAATATCTTATCATCAATTCCTTATCACGTAATATAAATAAGTGTCGAACGTCATTCGTAATATTTGACTCCGAAAATTTATGTTGTTAACATATTAATATAATAATCATGTTGCAATACATATTTGTTGTGTTTTTATATACAATAACATATTGTGCGACATTGGAAAATGCAGATAGTGATACAGTGATTACTGGACTGACAGGTAAAAAAGATTGATAAAAAGTAATTACAATATGTATTTTACTTTGATAATTTAATTGAAATTTATAAAAATAGAGACAAATATTTATTATACATTTTAATCGTTATTTTGAAATTATTAAATTAAGTGTCTCTCAAACATTATGTTAAAATGTTTTAATGTTAAATATTCTCTTTCGTGATAATTATAAAGAGAAATATCTCAATTTATAAAATTTCCTGCTACTTTAGGCAGGACGAATGAAAATTTAAATCCAGTACAACGGATTATTTACATTTACGAACCGCGTCAATGGAAAATGCAAGACACTAACAATCTCATAGAAAAAATAGGAAACGATTACCTTATTACACCTGGTGTGGGTGCTCATAAACTTCATGTCCGTAAGTTGTCGTGGAATAAAGCTCGCAGATCTTGCATTCAGGAAGGTGGTGAGTAGTTCTTAATGATGATTTTGAAATTCTTTGTCATATTTCTTCGAGTAATAACGTGAATTCTATTTGAAAATTTTCTTTAATATTAATGGCAACAAAACTAAAAGTGTTAATGGATATATCTTATTCAATTGATTTGAGTGTTACATTATCAGCCACAAACGAGTTAAATAATAGCAAAGTAACATAACTTCACCGAATTAACGCAAATCTACCTCATCGACACAGGTCGTTTGGCCATCATTAACTCTCAAGCAGAGGAAAAATTGTTGATGCACATCTTAGAAGAGAATAAAGTAAGCCAAGCGTGGCTTGGCGTACACGATCTATATGAAGAGGGCGATTGGAACACGATTATGGACGAATCGTTAGAAGCTACAGGTTACTCAAAATGGACTTCAAAAATTGCAAATCTGCCCGACAACTATAATGGAAAACAGCATTGCGGAGTTCTTCTAAAAGACGGCGGAATGGATGATCTGGAGTGCACCCTGGCACTCGCTTTCTTTTGCGAAATTATGTTCTCGGATCAGCGAATCCTCATAAATCATACGAACGCGAGATCATAATCAGATATCGTAATGTGCGATTTATCAAAAATAATTAAACAATCATTCTAAGATGTGCTGTTAAGATCGAATTAACAATGTCAATAATAATGCAAGTATAGTATCACAATTAATAGGGTCTATAAATCAATATTATGGTGAAGTCAATTATAGGTCATAAATTCTATTTTTGTACTAACGATTATCTTTAATAACATTGAATAGCCATACCATGAAAAATGCATAAGGTATATTAGAAAGCGACATAAGAAGGTCATTTTCTTTTTATAAAATATAAAAACGATGCTTTAAAATCACTTTGTGTCCTTGTTCTATAAGCAAAGCAGAAAAAGAATATATAAAGACGATTGAGAAAAATAATAATATGAACGTGAAATAAAAGTTAAATTATTATTTATTCCTTCTAGATTAATTATAATATATAGATAAAATTAGGGAAAGATATAAAATGACTCGAATTACAATTATCTCATTGTCTCCTCGTTATTGGAAATATCAAAATTGGAAGATAGAGTGAATTATGCTCCAAAGATTAAATGACACTTGTATTCGGTCGCAATTGTGCCGGATGAGTAAACAATGTATTCAAAGAGCATATTTAACATTTTCTCCGATCGGTTTGCATGTATCATGTTTCACGAAAATGATTTCTCTCTCGCCGGGCCATCGGTGGGTCATTATGAAAGATTTCGAATGTTATTTACTCGCGAGGTCGAGTCTTCCTTTTTTCCTCTCGTTCTCGATGAGAACATTCGCGTTATGGGATGGCGTCCGATAGCTACTCCTCTCAAGCCACCCTTATTGATTTTCCCGTGTAGGCGCACGCGCCATCTCGTTCCCGATTTGCGACAAGGGGGGTGCGGCTATCACCATGGATCCCAGTGTACTCGCCACCATGGACAAGGACGCACTGAAGAAGCAGATAGAGAACATGAAATACCAGGCGTCCATGGAACGGTGGCCCCTGTCGAAGAGCATTGCGGCGTAAGTGCTTCGTGGTGCCAACCTAATCATCAATCTCGTCGTCATCGTCATCGCCGTGCACCCGCTAGCTGCTTGTCATTTTTCCTCTTTACCCGCGTATTATTCGTATATACGTCTGTGGACCCGAAGACTGTCGCTTTCACGCACACAAATGCCCCAGAAATTCCACAATTTCCGTCAATTATAGATTTATTAGCAAATTTTTAAAGCGGAGTTTTCCTTGGAGTGTGAGAATTGAATTGAAACTCCTTATTTTTTGTGACTTATTTATTTATTATTATTTAATATCATTCGAGTCTTAATTTTGTAAATTTTTATTAAAATTTATGTAAACACTAATTGCTTACATGTCATACGTATGAATTACATATGTCGATTTCAACATAAATTTAATGTGTTATTTTTTTGTATCGATACCCAATAAAGGAGTGACCATTGATGCATAGATATTGAACAGTCGCCATTTTTCATTTAAAGTTTCATGACCTGTGCGTAATTTCTGGGACACACTCTGCGCGAAAATTTATTTAATATTCTCTTTTATTTAAAACTAGAAAGTCTAAGAAACTAGTTTCTGTTTTTTCTCAAATTTCTGCTTCGTCCGAAAATATGTAACTTTTTTCAGCGTCTGTTGTGTGAGAAAGTATAATTGAAGAAAATTGAAAATTTATTTTAACCAGTTGATATTACCAAATTTATACCAGATTTATTTTAACCAGTATCACCTTGAACATATGTGGAGGAAAATGTCTGGTTGAAAATGGACAAACAGAAGATTTTGATCATATTAATTAAAATTCTGATTATCTCAACTAAAATTTTAATAGATTTAAAAAGAAAATTCTGATTTGTACATTTCCAATTAATTCAACCAAACATTTTTCTCAGTGTGTATTAATCCTTTTCAAATACGTTAGTTAGTATTGCAATAAGTTGTAGAAATGAATAATTCATTTTGAACTCATTTGTTTTTAAATGAAAGTGATTGAAGTAGAATATAACCACCTACATTTATTTTTTATTTATTATAATTTTATATTTGCTGATGTCATATGTGTATATGTATACGTATGTATTCCTTCTTTATGTGAGTATTTGAGTACTTTTAGATGATACATAACTCAATTTTTCTCCACTTTTTAGCACATTTTCTACTTATTTTGATCTCTCAATAATCATTGTTTATTTTTAATACAATTGAAGTACACTTACATAAACAATAAACAAAAAGCATGATATTAGGCTTGTGATCTCGAGTACGTTTAGTTTTTATGACAGGGACTGTGTCTACTTTGTTATAAGGTTTTATACGAATACTTCAGATATCCTTTACATTCCATACACAAGACACATTATATGAAGGCTGTTTAACGGTAACAGCTGTAGTTCCTAGTTCTTTAATAATATAATTTTACAATATAATTTTCTCTGGTGCGTAATCATAGAGTGCTTTTCCAGATGAATTGGTTCGCGCATAAATCTACGTAATATCGTAGCCACGCAGATTGTTGTCGTTCAAGGTTCACTTGTCCCCTTCAGTTTCAGCTGAAGGATAACGTTATTAAAAATAAAGAAAAGTAATAATTTTTATTTGTAATTATTAACTATAATTGCTAATAGTTTTTCTCGTTTGAGAAAGTACGACAAAAGAAAGGAAGAAAGATAAAGCACACGATTCTACTTAATACAAATAAGCGATTTTATTAATCACATAACTAAAAAGAGCATGAAAGAGCTAATTGGCGTAACCATTTAAATACATATGTTTAAAACATACGTTTCCCAAATTTATTTAAAAAAATTGAAGTCCTAATCGATATTACATTTCAGAAAAGGATTGATCGCTGTTTGATTAGGGATTACGTCACGCGTGACAGTTGCAGCTTAGAGAAAAATTTACTCGTAGTGCGCGAAATATGGAAATGTGGAATTGAGTTTTCGCCACGTGTTAAACTGAACAATTAACGAAAAAAGTAACGTAAGGCCGAAACGCACTGGTCCGCGATCGACCAGGCGTAGGTGTGTTCCGGTGTTTCCGATTCCGGCGTTTTCCTCGCCTCGAAACGAATGAGGCGGCGCCTTTTCCCAAGATAAGTCATCTCGCGCGAGACCATAAAGCGAGACCATGGTGCAGCTCGCGCGCAGACTGCTGGGCACAGTCAAGGCTGAATTGTACACAACGTCCCCGTGTTACGTGGAGGGACAGGATCTCCTTGGACGGCGGTGCGTGTTCGCGTTAATCGCGTTTTCGCGGCGCACGATCACTTTCAGGGAACGCGCGTTTATTCGAATACGAGCGAGTACGAATAAACGACAACGAGCGAGACGCGAGACGCGAGAGAAATCTTTCACGAGAAATCCTGAATCGACGCGAGCGGCGATTACGATGACTCAATGATCGGACGCGATGATCGGCGATCTAATTAGGCCGCGGTTCCGATTGCGGTGATCGTCGTCTCTCGACTTGCGGCGATTTCGTCACGCGCAAACGAAAGGGATCGGCGCGAGGATTATCCTCGTGTTCCTTCGCGGCTCGTTCGGCCCGAGATAATTATATACCCCTCGCGTGTCGCGCTCTCCCTAATGATCGAGCGCGGTGGCTGAGTTATTGCGAGATTAAACCCGCGCAAAACGCGATCGGCTCCGCGAATTTAACTCACGTTTCTGCCGATTTAATGGCAGCGTTAACGATCTCTTGCGAATAAAAACGCAGAGAAAATGTTGTTGCATTATAAATTACATTGAGACAACTGCACGGATTACAAAAGTTATTTTTTTTTCTTTAGTTATAATCTT